CAACGTCCAATATCAAATTTTAAATTGTTTTGCAGCTTCTATTGATAAAGACCTAGTAATTAAATAACAGATAAGCAATTAAATGATAGTAAAGTCCCAGTTTGTTTAATGATCTTCTATAGGAATTTCAGTAAAATGCTTTTTTCTGTAATTTTAGACATTTCTTACAATTATGTAGAAAAACTAAAAACTACAGTTGAACTTCTTTACCTTATATTCAGACATCTCAGGGATTAAACACTGACAGAAATGTTCACTGGTCCGTCCCACGTAGAAACAAAGTGAGCTGTACGTGGCCCACCATGTAAAATCTGTATGACATCCTTGATGTACACATTTCCCATGTTCATAACAAAATACAAATAAATGATGTTGTCTCAAGACTATTGCACAGTATTGTATTTTGGAAAAAAAAAAATCTAGATCTATTTTATGGTCAGGCCCTTTTGATAGGCATCAGTATGAGACAATTAAAAAAAAGATACTCAGATATTGATTTTAGCACTTTCTCAGTTTTATTTTCAGTTCATCAAGCATTGGTTACTGTATGTCAAGAACAGTGACAACCACAGATCATCACTGATGTTAATGCTGCTACTAATTAAAACAAACTATACAGCGAGTTCAAATCACGCTTGTCATTCTTTATCAGTGGCCTCTGTTAAGCAGAACCTTGTAGAGTTTCACAAAATGTAACTTTGATCATTTAATGGAACAAATAGATTCTGTGAGCAGATATCACTTCATAAATTCATAGGCAGCATCATAAAACGGTGTATTTTATTCCCCTTTTGGTCAAAGACAAAAAAAAAAGGAAGATATTTACAGGAAAAAGAAAACAATCATCACTCATGAGATGCTATTTTTGCCAAAACATCATTATTAAAAATTAAAAAAAGGGGGAAAAAGAAATATGAATCCTAACAGGGTAGATGCACCCAAAACAACCCTTACACACAAGTAGTTCAAAAGATATATAGATGTATATATATGTATTTATCCATATATATTCTGTATATATGCTTCTCTACAAAAAACAAGTTTACTCTTTATACGAGTAAATACATTCTACTCTACAATCACCATAACAACTGTGTACATTCCCAACCAAAAGACTTCATTTATCAGGAGGACGATGGACGTGAACAATCCATGAATTATGCCCAGGAAGTATGCAACAACATGCTTGATGTGACTGCAGTGCTGTATATGTATGTGTGTATGCATGCGTCTGCATGTGGGTGTGTTAATACATACCCCATCGCCCCACCCTCTGACATAAACGCACACACCCAGAGAAAATGATCTGTTCTGCAGTTAGTCTGTGCCTAAGCAGTGGAAACATAATCCGGGATCTATTTCTGCAGCTCTGCAGAGTTTCAGAATCACTTGCAGATGGACTTTCCGGGTCTTCCTACGGCACTTCTCTCGTTGCTTCCAGACAAATTTAGCATGATCCCCAGATTTAAACCCCAACTTTCTGTGCTAATGCAAGAGTAAGCAAGACAGGTTTTCTTTCAGATTTACACACAGGAGAGCATTCGTTTCCCCACCTTTTTTCCTGACATTTCATAACTGTCTAGACAGATCACATCTCTCACTTCTGAGACTGCAGGATGATCAGATTTGTGCAGCAAAGGCTTCGTAGTCTTTGGTGTGGAGATGAATCCCATCGTGTAGTAAAAAAAAAAAAAACCTCCTTGTTTTCCAAAGGCATTCATGCATTTTCCTTTTTGACCTGGCAGGAGGAGAAGAGGGGCCTTTGGGAAACATGGCTATATCTCCAGATATAAACGGGGAGCAAAATCTCTCCGATCTCTTAAACCATTGAACCTATCTCAGAATTTAAACACTCAAAGCTCCTGCATGTGTTGCCACTTTTTGGAGACAACACTCTTTCTTCTTTTCTTCTGATAGCTTAATTTATCACACAGGTAACTGCCATTTCAACAAAAAAGCAATGTATGTGCAGTGCTACAGACAGCCTAGTATAAAGCACTAATAAATGGAGCAGGTGTGGGTGTGTTTTCTCAGCTATACATGGCTCATATCCTAATGTACAAACAAGGTCCAACCACTTGTGTGACTCACATAGTTCACAAATACTCAATCCATGGAGCAAAGAGTGTCATGTCGACTCAGTGCGCTTGGCTGTTATTGTCGGTAAAAGCTGAAATATTTACACATTTGAGTACATGTGTGCTTCTGTGTGTGTGTGTTTGTCTTGTTGCATACACGTGCGTGTCAGGTAGCCCTGAGTACAATGCGTGAGTGTATTGCTCGTGCGTCTTTTGTGCTTTTTAGATTTACAGGTGTAGTTTTTGTTGAACGCCCACCAGAGGCAGTGTAGATGTAGAATAACAGGGATGTGTCTGTGTGCTGCTGTTTACTCGTTTATAGTGATCTTGGGGACTACTAGAGTAGTAATGACATCCATCAGTGGGACTGGAATCCAGAAAAGACAACCAGTATGTTCTAAAACATTATTCACACATTTCTTTTCAAGCCGCTCATAAGTGTTGTTTTTTTTGTTTCCAGAAAAAACACGTCACTGCAATATTTTCTATTCTGAGACACTTTGGTGGAGTACGGCTGGTTTTGTTACTGACCTAATAAAAGAGGAAGATATCTAGTCAGTTCATCAGTCAGCCTCCCTTCAATCTCTCAATATACTATATTTAAGTATATTTCGATTTTTTTCCTCTTTCTTCTTATTTTTCTCTCTCTCTTGATAATTTCTTTTAAATCCCCAAACAACTTGGATACTTGGAGTATATTTTCTCAGCTGAAACATCAAGCAGATTTCTCATCTCCTAGATTACTAAGAAAACTGATGCTTTTAGATATGGTGGTATCATTTAGGAGACAGCAGCTCCCTCCCCAACAAATAAAAAATACTGCTGACTGGAGGAGCCACTGCCTGCACATTCCCGCCAAGCTGCCTGTGCCAGGTTTAGACTGACCCGCTTTCTCTGTGCTCTCAACCTCGCCACCCTTCGTCTGAATACGGTTGTCCGGCCAACAGACTAAAAGGACTGGGTCAGTAGTCAGGGTGACTCCTCCAATGTGTCTGTACAGTCTGAGGGGAAATGAAAAGGTTGCTCACTGAGGTATGACTGTCTGCCTTATTAATGTGGGCCATCTGGAGAGTGAGAAAGGGGCAGAGAGGGGGAGATGAAGGCAGGGCAGGGAGGAGGGCAAGAAATTCTCAGCTGATAGAGGTCTGTTTCCACACAGCTAACCTCAAAGTTATTCACCTCCACGTGAATTTCACATGTAAATGAAAAGTAAGAGCAAAGCCTGCTCTAAACTTTATTCTACACTTTTAGAGATCAAACAAGAGCAGCTCTCTTCTTTAATGGAAAACCACTATAAAAAGATTGAAAAGCAAGAAACAGTCATTCACAGCACAGACCCACAGTCAATTAATAAACCGAGATCTAGTTTGTGTGAGACATCTTAACTTAATTGTGCTCCATGTCAGAGCAGTAATATTTACTCTTGTAAAGCCAGGCTGTCATTAGGATTTCAAACAACTGTAAATGAAAGTTTGAAGATTTAATAACTGTATATTACAGATTATAGACACATTATGGGAACAGGAAGTACACAACAGCCTCCATTTTGCTACTCGACCTCTCAGTCGCACGACAATTATCACCATCCTTGCAAAAATTGTCAAGTTCTTTTCATTTTCAGCGTAGTAATGTCAAAAAAAATCTCACTCTAATTCGGCTTATTGTTTAGAAACGCTGACTTTAGAGTCATGCTGTGTCTATCGGCTTTTTCTCAGATGTCTTTTTTTTTGTTGAATCAAAGCCAGCAGAAACACAGGAGATCAAACTTGCGCCCAGATCAAGGCGAATGTGAGGAGAATCAAAGGTTTTTGATGCACATTTTGTAGCTTCTGCTGACTGGTTCTACTAAAGGTTAAAAATAAGAAAGAACAGCGATAAAAAAAACCCCTCCAAAACCATGTGAGAAACAAAAAAAACCCCAAACATCATGCACAGCAACGGCGATTTACATTTTGTGTTGTGGGCAAGATCCCTTGTACAGATCAGCCATCAATGAAAAGTCTTAAACTATCGAACATATTGATCACATACACACTAATTAAGTCAGATACATGATGAAATGTGGTTTGGGGGTGAAAGTGGTTTGCAAAGTGGCCTGCAGAGGTGCACAAGCCACACAAGCCTAGAGACAGGCAACCTTCCATAGATAGGGAAACGTGTGTATTGAGTGAATGGTTGACGACCACTGCCCGGTGAAATCGATCACAGACAGAGTGACGTACTGAAAACCTCCTTTTAATTCGTCACTAACAGGTTGCCTATAATTTGCGTGCAGAAGCAGATTTGTCCGCAAACACTCAACCGACTGCTGTCCAAGCGGTAGTGAACATGAAGTAAGTGTCATGTAAACTGAAAAAGGGGAGAGGTTCATCTGCAACCAAAGCAACCATAAGCCACGGGGTCATTTACCAGTCTCTAGGTCTGAGTGACTACAGCCTCAAACAGTGAAGTTTACATGAGATTAACCACTGGCTGTGTATAACCAGCAGACGTGGGCTGGCACTGATATCAGCTGATCTGGACGGATTGTGCTTAATTTGATGCCGCAAAATCAAATCCACACAAAATCTGATTGAACTGCTTTAGAATTTACAGTTACCTAAACTGCCAGTAACTTTATGACATAAATTTACAATGTGCTATAACAGTAGTACTACACAATCAACTACTCAAAATTTTGGGATGACATGAAAAGCTAATTTGCCTTCCTTTACTGTAGAATTATGTCAAAGGTTTGTGGTCATTGACCTGGTCATCTTAGCCTCAATATTTAGAGACATATGGCTATGACCGTATCCACAGATTGAACTTTTTCTTCCCTTATACAACTGAGCTGAACACCAAATGCGAATCTGATACTTAAATTATTTTCAGGTAAGGTAACATGAGGCCAAAGACAGCTTTGACACTACTAACTACGTTCATGTACAACGATGATTAAACTGCATTCTCAGTCCAAACTCCTGATGACCCAAATCACATTGTGTGAAAAAACTGTCCCAAAAATTAATTTGTATTGTATCTTTCCCAACCTGTAAGATGTTAATGTGATTTCGCTACCAGCAGCATCACTTTCAGCAGAGAACAGCCACAGAGAGCCGGAGGAAACAATGTGTGTGAATGTGTGTGTCTGCAGAAAGAAGAAACAGTGAAGTGCCAGTGAGCTGTGCTTTTGGTCCCTATAAGGCTTGCGGGACGGAGCTGATGTGTGATCTGTGCCGAGGTGGTGGTGTGTCCATTAATGGAAGAGGGAGGAGCGTGTACATCCAAGCATACACATACTGTAACAACAGTATTCCCTGCCAGCAATGAGACTATAGAAAATGTGCTTTCTGACAGGAATAGTGTGCGTTTGTCTGTGTCAGTGTGTGGTTATAAGTGTGTTCAGTAGCGAGCACCTCTGGTCCGGGCAGTGTAAACAAACCTCGGGCAGCAGAGAGCGTGCTCGGAAAGGCTCAGAAAGACATCAAAGATAGAGGAAAAGTAGGAAGGAAGGAAAGAAGGAAGCATTATTATTCTAACAGCACAGGTTATAGGAATACCAAAGATAATATTGCCTCTCCTAGAACTAGCTTCAATTGCTCAGTGTATATAAAATTGGAAGAAAGCTATACTGTGATATTACAGTTACATTACACTTTATAATTCTAAAATAATTTATAACAACAATAGTTATATTTTATAGAGTATTTACATAAATACATCATCATATACTAATATTGTCAACACGTTGTTATAGAAATACACCATACATATATGTGTGTGTGTATATATATGTTATATTATAGCCACACGCACACATACATTGAATATACAATCAAAATAAGCTATTGCAATGCTGTGTTGGGTAAAACTTTGTTGGACATTCACATCTTCTCAAGTAAATAAGTAAGCTCAAAGAGAGGAGTTCAGGTGTATTGCTATAAGAAAGACCAGCCCAGCCCTGCACGGTCACAGCTGAACGTTTCTCGTAAAATCCGAGTATTGCTTGTTGTAAAGTCGCTCTCCTCTGAGGAGATGATCTGGGTGAAGAGACGAGGAAACAGAAAGAGGTGCTTTGTGCCTCTCGGTCGATGGTTCAGATAGTTTCTGCCTTTTCTTTTTTTCTCAGGAAGAAAGTTTCGTCAGTAGACTGATCAAACTGAAACCGTTCTGAATGTGTGAATCCATCAGCTGTGATTCAAAGGCAGCCCGCATTAGACGGAGAAACAGATGGGCATGTGTGCAGCCAGGTAAGTGTGAAGAGCGCCTCCAACAATGTGCTGCCTCTAGAAGTCAGAGAAGAGATCCTGTGGACCCAGATGAATGATAAAAGGAGCGATGGTGCGCGGCTGGTAGAAAGGATTGTCAATAAATAGACCACCTGCAGTGACGAAGATCAGAGAAAAAGGAAGATTGATTAATTAGTACACTTTTTTATAGTGGTATATAAGTATATTAACTATATGAGTGTATTTAAAATAGCGCAGAATGTAGAAATGTGTGTAGAAATGTCCTGTATATTAAATTAAAGCAATAGTCAAAACACTTTGGGAAATATTCTTAATGGCTTTTTTGGAATATAAGAAGATGAGAAGATCAATGCCGCTTGTCTAATGAATATGACGATGCATCCAAAGGACACTTAGTTTAGCAAAAATACTAGAAACAGGGGGAAACAGCGAGCCTCTCTCTGTCCAAAAATAATAAAATCCATCTAGGGGCGCCAGGAAGACTAATAGTTGCACTTTTAGTTTATTTAACACACTGTGCTAAATTGTGTTATTGGGATCTGTAATACCTCTCGTGGCTGTGGAGCTGATTTTTCAGAAGAAAACTGGTCGCTTTAGAAGAAATGTACATTTTCCAGTCAGAACATTAAAAGAAGTGTCTAGTTAAAGGTCTGTCTCACTGGGTCGGACCATCGTGATAGGACAGAAAGACAATGTGCCTTATTACACAGCAAAAACTGCTGAGGAAAGGCTCGGGGAACACAACAAAGAACCCAAGCTTTTAATTCAGGCTGCACAGTCCAAGAACAAGCCTGATCCTTGGTGGCACCACCCTGCAACCAGACTCAAAGGGTTGTCTGCACCTCTGTAAAGGTGCACAGAGTAAGACACTAAATCATGATAATTTAGTTTCTGCTGCTTTAATTTCAGCCACATTTCTACAATGCGAGCTCCTGAGCTTAGCTTGGCTAGCTTTTCCCCTGCTTACAATCTTTATGCTAAACTAATGCAGCTTAAAGTGCAACAAAGCCATAAAACATATTTCCCTAAATATTAAAACCAGTAAATATTCTCTATGGGTCTTTGGGTCTTTATGCATTGAAATAATATCAACCTGAACAAAAAGAATAAGAGAAAAAAAACAAACAAACACAAAATGGAAGAAGTGGTAATAGTGTTCAATCGTGTAAGATTGAAGTTAAGGTCTCAGAAGGACAGAGATTATTTAAGGGCTTTAAAACAACTCAGAGGAGCTCAACCAACCATTGGACAAGACATTGGGTCCTCTCATCCAATGGCTGCGCCTCATAGCCGTAACCATGGAGACGTCCTCGAAGGGGGGTGTGGTTATCACTTGCTGGTTGGATGACCAAGACGTGGTTGAAGGGCCACGTGCAGAACTCTGTCTCGATTGGCACTCTTTGACTGGTGTGTTGATGGAATAAGCTTGAGTTTCACCTTCACTGCACTCTATTTACATTGAGCCATTTTCCTCTTAGTTATTATTTGTAAAGACTGTTTTTTTCTTTACAGTCATCTTACAGAGGATAGTTTTAAGCCCAGGTTTTAGTGGTATTATTGGTGCTGGTGCTTAGCATCGAGGGGAAAAAAAAGAGCAAACACAACAAACCATACTGACAATGACACTGAAAATTATGAAACAACGACATGAAAATGCTAACGGTGAAGTATGATTTCATTTGCATGCTTTTGATTATGTAAATGTCTGTGATCAACATGAATTTTTGATGGAGCTACAACTCGAATGTCAGGCAAAGATGAAAAACACTGATTTAAATGTCTGTGCAGAACATATTAAGTTTATTATTTGTAGGATGATTTATGCTAGTGAGGTCCTCTTAAGCAATGTCAGTATTCTTCTGTTGCAAAAGACTGCCGTTATCTCACATTACAACAAATGCAATACTGTAGGCGTTAACTCTGAGAGCTGCGGGAAACCTGCCGAATATTAATTCCACATGCAGTAATGAGATCGTGCAGCTGAATGCAAGATGGAGGATCTAACAAGGGCGTTCTAAATTCATCATTTGTCGTCTTTGTCTTTTTCTCTGAGTAATCTTTAAGCTGAAGGTCAAAGAGATGAATTGAGAGGTGACGAGGTACTGAAATTCAATATTTGCAAATGCATGAGCTTGGAATATTAATAGTACTAGTACTATTTATAGGTTTAATAGTGTAGGTTTTATAGTACTATTTGCAGGTTTGAAAAAAGATAGGTAAATCTGTCTACGTTAGGTGACATAAGTACAAATCCAGTCCAAACAGAACCAAAGAGGAAGGTGCTACTCTATTAAGTTCCTTCGTAGCTGAAAGCCTTTAAATGAGATATACAACAGGAGCTGTTCAGCTTTTATTGAAGATAAACTTTATTTTGCAGCATTGATGATTTATTCCTATACATCTTTCACACCACTCACATTATTTTCTTTGTACACAGAATATGTGTGATGTGTGTGTCATATTGCAAAGGATATCATCGTCTTTAGCAAGGAAAGAACAAAATAACAAAAGGCTATATATATATATATATATATATATATCGATAGAAATATGGATCGATAGATATATTACTATTTAGACTCATAGAATGAGGTAACAATTCACAGTACAAATCCTTCAAGTTTTTAAATGTTTTTATATCTTAAGAACTTAAAACCTGCAGGGTTTTTGATATTCATAAAAGTTTTTGGAACCAAAAACAATATAAAATAAGCAAAAAAGCACTTTTACAAATCTTCAGCTCAAGTCCTTAATCCTTTCCCCTTCGTCATACTGTAAAAAAGAAAAAGAAAAAAAAAACTGTCTCCCTTCTACAGAAAACCTAGGTGCATTTTGGTATGGCGTGTCTCTTATGCTAAAAGAAGTGGTAGTGGGGGACGGGGTAGGCGGGCACTTTCATGACAGGCAACAGAAGCATTCTCTTGGGCAAACCTAGAGGGGAGACATGAGAAGAGCATAGCTCTGCATGAGTTCTGGGGAACAAATAACCAATGCTCACTATGCTAAGAGCATGTCCATCAAATACCCGTCACACTAGACAAGCAGGTTCCCAGAGGTAGAAGTGTAACTGCGTGAGAAAAAGCAGGAATGTATGCACACGAGGTGACAGCCTTTATTAGTAGTTTACCACAGAAGACAAAGCGGGAGTTAAAAAGAAAAGCTAAAGTTTAATTTTAATTCTGTTAATTTGGTCTATTTGAGTCAATTTAAAAGCGTTGATTCCACAATCCCGTTATTTATTATGATTTGGAATATGGTGACCAGCAGGGCCTTTAGACAATCAGACTGGATTTTCCTAGATTTTTTTCTAGATTGTAAAGGCAGTAATAATTACGCCAGGTTGCACTAGAATTAAAAAAAAAATGGTTTAATCATTGTGAATAATCCGATAATTGCTCTTGATCGCAACAATCACACTAGTGTGTGCACTGGTAATGTTAATAATGATAATCAAGGCTTTAAAATTAGGAATGAAGGGGTAAAATAAAGAGAAAGAATCAATTGAAAAATAGGTAATGAATCAGAAGCTGGTGCTTGCATTGTTCCGTAACTGACACTGTAGTAATAAATCTAACAGCTTATGGAATAATCAGAAGATAGATGGCCTAAAGTAAGTGTGGCCTTAGATTGAGTGGAGCTACACTATCAGGCTGCATCAAGGCCTGTTAGAGGGGAAATATTTTTGAACAGCGAGGAGACACAAGTGACTTTGGGGTTGCGTCAGGAAGGTCATCCGGCGTAAAAATCTGCCAAATCAAACACGCAGAGCTACCTGCTGTGGCGACCCCCTGCGAATAAGTGAGCAGCCAAAAGTTGCTTTTTATTTTTTTTACCTGTTATTCTTGCAGAGCTATTTTTTTTTCAGGGTCCCAGAATACAAGTGCAGAGATAGAGACCAAAACACTAAAGAGACATCAAACGTTGTGCTGTTGCAAATTGTGTGGATGAAACATTTCGTGTCTATATTTTTATCTAGTTCAATGCATATTTTTAATCTCCACTGAACTTCCTACTTACTTGTGGGAAGGTGCAGAGTAAGTTCAAGGTCAGGACTAGTTATACAAGCCAGGATATGTGACATGTTCGGATGAGTAACGGGTCAAAGGTGCACACAATATGCAGCAATTTATGTGCTTCCACAGAACATGCAGGGCATTTAATAGCCTAGTTATACACTACTGTTTTTCAGTTGCTTAGTATGAGGCCAGCTACTGATGTATTGTTTTGGTAAACAATAACTATTTGAAAACGCCAGCAAAGGCAGACTATTTTAGCAAGGAAAGGTGTTGCACTAACATGTAAAAAAACCCAGTTGAAACTGCCTGGGAACTAACACTGGGTTCCAGCTTTCATAAACATATAACTGAGGTGGATTTCATTTTCAGGGATGTTGGGTTCTCAGGGGGTTGTTACAAATCTGCCTGGGGCCCTCAAGGTAGTTTCTTCTAGCACATAAGACCCTTTCAAACTAGGCTGTAAGATGGACGGCGAGGCCTCCTAGTACTACATGTAAAGTCCCACTGCACAGGACTCACTCTGTTGAGGTAAATATGTGTATATAAATACCTATGCTATTGAAGGTCAAGTATAAGTATATATTATGTCCTGAGAACAAGAAAACAGTGTAGCAGCAGTCCTACTGATGGAAAGCTGGTGTGTATCTTAAAAGTACTGGCAAAAAAAAAAAATTGGAACTCGTTCTATTCCTTCTGCTAATCTAAACAGAAATGTGGATGATGGCTCTACGAACAGGGCTCAGGTTAATAAAAGGTTAATAAAAGTCAAGAAACAAGGTAACTATTCAAATATTTTTTTTAGTTTTCTACTCTTTTGCATTTAAACTATTTGAAGGCAATGCCGGAAGATGTGTTGATATAAACACAATCAGGATTGTTTTTTGGATGATTTTAGATGAAAGCCTGAAACAGACGACAGCACTCTGTGCTGATAGAGCAGCAGTCCAACCATAAGAGATGAGGGTGTAAGAGGCAACAGGCAGATTAACACATAAGGACTGAGTGGACAATTAGCCAAAGCACAGATCTGATTGTAGAAAGACAACAAAGAGATTAAATGTTAAACGCTAAAACTTGGATCTTAAAGGGTCAAGATTTTAAAATCATTTTGAGAAAAGAGAAGAAATGGATATAAAAAGCAGTCGAGGACAAGGGCTGTAAGTGTAAACCTACTGAAGATTCATTAATTTACCCACAAATGGCTAGAGAGAGAGAGAGAGAGAGAGAGATGGAGGGAGGTTACAGATGGAAAAAGGAGGCTTGAGCTGATGAGGAGTGGACACGAAGAGGCACGTACCGTACGCAGGAGCAGCTGCTGCAGCAGGGCTGTAGCCATACGGTGTCCCAAAGCCTGTTGGGAAAGAGGTTACAAGGTCTAATTCAATTCTGCACTTGTTAAATCCAAAACTAACACACATTTCAGCTTTTGTGTAACTTCAGATGACTATTTTGGCCACTTTGAATTCTAGCAGACAGCTATGGGTTTAAAGTTTGAGACCTAAGTAG